ATACTACTAAAATCCAAAACATACATGATGTGTAAGTTATACTTTTGTTATCAGCTTTTTAATACTGACAATAAAGAAAGAGATTGAACTGCCAGCCTCTATTTGACAACCACAATATCTAAAATAAACATGAAAAATTCATAAAGACCTGAAAAACGTGTTACTCTGCTCTGAAAAGTCCAGCTCCTAAAAGAGATGATGAGGATGCAAACACAGACCTTGAACAAACTGTTAAATTTCACTGACTGCCTGACTTCGTGTGAATTTGCTTGTTCAGCACAGGATTTGAGCCTCCTGTTTATAAACACTCTGAACTCAATTCAGTCAACAATTCAGCAAACATCCACACTGAAAGGTAACACTGCTTCTTGGGCGTGCCCCTCATTTCACCTATAGTGTGATAGAAAGATGAAATCCTGATATAAATGTGATATTTCATTTGCCATTAGTCAGGTCCACTTTCTAAAGATCCAGAAGAGCTATAAATTGGTTTCCAAGGGGAACCACACGTTCTATTTCACCTGTTAGCAAAGGCAGAAGGGCTGGCTGAACCAGTCCAGTTTGATCTGGGCCAACCAGGGAAGAACAGAAAGTCAGTTTGACTGTCTGAGGCAAGGTGTCAAAAGGCATGTGAACAAATAAACAAAACCATCTCTATGTGTTATGTAAATAATCAACATCATCAATCATTTACTAATGACACAAGATCAGACCACAGAGGCAACAACTCCAGATGAAAAAGTAGAGGGAGAACAGTTAAGACAAAGCAATATGTAGTTGCTATGATTAAACCTGTACTTTCTACTTTAAATGACATAGGATCCAAGTTAACAATCACAATAGCTCTTAAAGGCCTGGAAAAAAAAACAGGGGCTGCTGTTATTTACCTTGAGAAGGGTTTACTTTTCTTGCTGTTGCCCAGAATGGTTGTCCCTGCTGGTCCCAGTTTGGCACTTTCCCGTAACCAGTTGGCAGGAGGCAGCTTCAGGTCTGTTTTCTCCTGCAGACGGGCAAAGGCTGCTTGAGGAGGGGCTGAGGAGTATTTCACCACAGCACAGCTCTTCACCTCATTGCCTCCGAGGAACAGCACCGAGCCCTGATTTCCAGAGAGAAATTAGCCTTCTACTTAAGTGTTGGCAATTAAAACTATCAGGCTTGTTCTGTAATAAGTTATTTTTAAGGCTAAGTGAGCAAAATCCAGTCCTATATTCACTTACCTTTCCCCAGCACATACAGTTTTCCAGTTATTCCAATTCATGTCAAGCATAAGCTTCACTTTAGGAATTATCACAGAATCACTTAGGTTGGAAAAGACCTCCAAGATTATCAAGTCCAATCTGTGATGAACCACCGCACTGTCACCCAGACCAGAGCACTGATCAACACATCCAGTCTTTCCTTGGACACCTCCAGGGATGGGGACTCCACCACTGCCCCAGACAGCCCGTTCCAACGCTTGACAACCATTTATTTCCATGAAAGAATTCTTCCTGCCCACCCTGCCCCTGTCCCAGCCTGGGGCCGTTCCCTCTGCTCCTGTCCCTGTTCCTGGAGCAGAGCCCGACCCCCCGGCTGTCCCCTCCTGGCAGGAACTGTGCAGAGCCACAAGGTCCCCCTGATCCCCCTTTGTTCCAGGCTGAGCCCCCTCAGATCCCTCAGGAGTTCCCAGCCCCTTCCCAAATCCCTCAGGAGTTCCCAGCCCCTTCCCAAATCCCTCAGGAGTTCCCAGCCCCTTCCCAGCTCCCTCAGGAGTTTCCCAGCCCCTTCCCAGCTCCCTCAGGAGTTCCCAGCCCCCTCCCAGATCCCTCAGGACCTCTCCAGCCCCTTCCCAGCTCCCTCAGGAGTTCCCAGCCCCTTCCCANNTCCCTCAGGAGTTCCCCAGCCCCTTCCCAGCTCCCTCAGGAGTTCCCAGCCCCTTCCCAAATCCCTCAGGAGTTCCCAGCCCCTTCCCAGCTCCATTCCCTGCGCACACTCCAGCCCCTCATTGTCTTTCCTGACCTAACAGCGCCAGAATCAATCCCAGAATTTGAGGCTGGACCTCGGCAGTGCCCAGCACAGGGGGACACCCCTTGCCCTGGTCCTGTGCCACACTGTGGCTGATCCAAGCAGGTGACAGTGGCCTCCCTGCCCACCTGGGCACACTGAGAATGAAGTGTCACCAACGTCAGCTGCCACACCACACAAAATAACTCAGAAAGGCTAAAACAAACACATCTCCCACTAAAGTTTGTGAAAGTAGGTGTATATTAACACTAATATTAAAGCTAAACAGGCTTCTACCTTACTATTATTAAATAATAATAAATTAAACAAGCTTCGTGTTTGCCTACTTCTTTTCAAACACGCAGCTGTCACCCGTGTGCGAGGAGCTTTGAACTAACACAAGTCAAGGGAAAAACAGCTCCACAGGACACCACTTACGTAAATACGCTGCACTTAGGCATAACAACAGCAACACTGCTCGCAATTAACGCTTAATCATAATTAGCGTGTTCCCTACAGCACTCCGGCCCTGACAAACTGGAAAGAGGACCAAAAACACCGCTTCAATTAAAACACCCCCAGGGGCCGTGTCTGTAGCCGCCGCTCGACCCCCTCACAGCCCCTCTACCTCACCCAGCACGGCCGCCCCTCAGCGCCGCCCACCTGCTTGGGCTCCTCGGCGTCTCCCCTCAGCGGGGCAGGGGTGCCCGCGCCGCAGGGCTCCTCCATGGTCCGGGAATGGGGCGGGAATGGAGCGGGAATGGTCCGGGAAGGGGCAGCGGGAGCGGAGCCGCTGCCCGGGGGGTCCGGCCGGGAGCCGCCGCCTCTCGCGAGACTTTTCGAGAAGGCGCGGGAAGGGCGGGCTCTGAGGGCGGCGCCGTGAGGGGCGGGCGGTGCCGCCGTGAGGGGCGGGCTCTGAGGGCGGCGCCGTGAGGGGCGGGCTCTGAGGGCGGCGCCGTGAGGGGCGGGCGGTGCCGCCGTGAGGGGCGGGCGGGAGGCGGCGCCGTGAGGGGCGGGCGGTGCCGCCGTGAGGGGCGGGCGGGAGGCGGCGTTCCCAGCGGGCTCGGAAGGTGGTTGATGTGGGAAAAACCTCGTCAATTACATCAAAGCGAGGAGTGTCAGGTCCAGTCGTTCCTTAAGCACCTCCAGGAATGGGGCTCCACTACCGCCCTTCCAATTCTTGGCCACCCTTTCCATGAATAAATTTTCGCTAATTTCCAATCTAGACCTCCCCTGGCGCAGTTCGAGGCCCTTCACAGGTGAGCCAGAAAGTCCCCCCCGAGCCTCCTTTTCTCCAGGCTTGACTTTCCTGGATAACTGGGACCTTAATGAAACAAGCGAAAACTTGGTGGTGGGGTATCTCAGCATGGGAGAGGATTGAAAATTGCAGTACACTGTACACTGAGTTCAACAAAAAGCTGAGCTGTGATGGCTTCAGTAAGTAAGTAATTCCTAAATAGTGCACATGGCATTTTTAATACCTATTATTTTCCTTGTAGATGGCATTCTTCATTCTCTAAACCACGAGAGGCAGTATGCTTCATGACTGGTCAGGGAGTACAAATGCTGACTTCCTCTTAAGTTATATCTGTATCTATAGCCACATGTGCCTTAATATATATATATATATACATATATATATATATATATATATATATATATATATACAGACATATATATACACACACACACACACACACACACATATATATATATATATATATATATATATATGTATATATACGGATATAGATCATGGAATTACAGCATGGTTTGGGCTGGAAGGGCAGGGACACCTTTCCCTGTCCCAGGCTGCTCCAAGCACTGTCCAGCCTGGCCTTGGACACCTCCAGGCATCCAGGGGCAGCCACAGTGTTAAAAATAGGTTAGAAACTATTGTAAAATGGTTGATATTTGTTAAGCATGTACTATTAGTTTGGTTATGGTAAAAGGGGTTAAAAGGGTAGTTATAAGAAATATGGTACTCAACGTACCATAATACACCTAAATAAAGTGCACCACCCCAGCCTGGACAGAACTGTGATGGGCCAATCAAGCGGCTTAAACCTTCATGCAAATTAAGGATCCAAAAAGAAACCAATCCAAAGGGACAAAAAACAGGATAAAAAGGGTATCTGCTCCACTGAATTTGTGCTGCTCCACCTGAAACATCGGGGACATCACTGCTGAGCAGACCAGTGCTGGCACCGCAGCATCCTCGACGGGATCGCTCCTGCTCAGCCCGTGGACCCCCTTGCTTCAGGCCTTTCTTTTTATTATAATAAATGCTGAAATCGCTTTCAGTACCGGGAGTGTGCTCCCGTTTTTAACAACAGCTTCACTGGGCACCCTGTGCCAGGGCCCCACCACCCTCTCAGGGAACAATTCCTGCCTAATATCCAATCTAAACCTAGTCTCTGTTAGTTTGAAGTCAAAAAGGACACAAGTGTCATCTTTACAGTCTGTCAAGGCCAAGGAGGCAATGTCTTGGTTTGTGCTACACTGGCCAAGTGTGCTGCAGTTAAATAGTTGGGATGTTTCCAAGCCACCGCTAAAACTCAAAAGCAAAAAAAAATTCCTTAACACGCAGCCAGGTTTTCTGTAGATATTGGGTGTGTGTTCAATTAAGATGTGTGTATGTGGAAAGTCATTTTCAAAAGAGCAGGAAGTTGCATCTTAAAATTCTATCTCTAACGTCCTTCGGGTTTTCCTCAAAACCAGCTCTCCTTCCCCCACCCATTCCTATTCAGGCTGTGAAGTGTCACTGAAGTGATTGTGCAGAATTGATTTGTTTTCAACATTCAATCCTCTGACGAGCTGTTATTTCCCTCTTCCTTGCAGAACACGAGCGGGAGCGGCGCTGCCCGGCGTTTTTGGTTGTGTGGATCTCAGTGAAACACCGGGGCGGCTCTGAGGTCACAGGGGAGGGTTCCACACCCTGCCCGCTCCATGAGCAGGTCTCCAGGGAACCGCGGTGGCGCCGGGAGAGTGACCGGGAGCGGCAGTGACATCGAGCCATGGCCGAGGACAAGATTCAGCACAGCGCAGGGCACAGTAGCGACTGGGTAAGGGCCAAGCAGGTGCCCCCGTGTCCTCCGCAGGGCTTCTTGATCCTTAAATTCTCAAAAAAGCACCATGCTAAGGGTGACTTTGTCCTTTACTCAGAAACAAGTCTTCCTCTTCCTGAGGTTTAAAAGGAAAGAGTGTCCTCTGTATTTAGTGTGCAAAAGTTCTGGCTTGTTAAGTAACCCTGGCTGGATTTCCACACCGCACCCCCCACCCCCCACCCACCCACCCCGTTTTCCAGCAATTCTGTGGGTCTCTTATTTGATAGTTAGTCCTGGTTGTTTTTCCTTCTCTTCTGGAGAACTGGTCAAGGCTTGCCTCAGTTCTTGCCTCCAGGAGAACACTGATCCCATCAGAAACGCTGGGCTGGGACATCTTGGCATCCCAGGGCACTGTAACACTCCTGGCACAGTCTGTTCCTCACTCTGAACCCTTTTGCCTGATACTGGGTTGAGCTGTTCCCAAAAATTTTGTGCTTTCAAACTTGCACTACAGTAGGAGTAGCATGGGGGATTGGAAGGTCGTTGTTTTCCTCGGTGATTATTGCTGTGTAAACACTTTTCAGAAAGTTCCTGGATAGTCTTGTCTTAAAGAGTCCTAAAATTCTTGTCTGGTTATTTTATCTACGTTTGAAGGTCTTTATGGTAAGGTTTGCGTTGTGGGTGTGCGAGGCTCCTCATTTGTCCAGACGCCGCTAGGTGCTGCTGCAATCCAAGTAATAAAAAGTGAATGGGACAGTATCATTTTGACCACATTTCTGGTCAGATTTATTTGTTATTTAGGTTTTGTTGTTTGTTGGTTTTGTTTGTTTGGTTTTTTTTTTTAGTTGGCTTTTATTTTAAAGGGCCATAATCCTCATTATTTTCTAGTTCTCTCACGATGTACTGGAGGTGGGCGAGCTGGAATCAACAACAAGCGCTTCACTAAAGCATGTCCTGAATTCCGTAGCCGCTGTGGGCCAGGAACACAGAATGCCGCTGGAATACAAAGCTCGGGTGCAGGTGAGTTCCTGCGGCAGCACAGCCGATTTTCGGAGCTCTTTTGCAAGTTGTCACTCGCCAAGTTGTGAGTAAGAACAGCACTCAGGGTCGTAAGCGGAGCAGTCACAGCGGGCTGGCAGACTTTGTGCCTCAGGGGATGGAGTGATTGCTGCCTGTGCTGTGGAAGAAACATATTTCCCTGTTACTCACTCATAATTTTAGTTGCTCAGAGTCCTGCTGTATTACTGCTGATTTTCTCTTATTATTGAGACACCGAATACATTATGATCAATCTCAGCCCACAGCCTGTGTGTAAAGCCCTGTAAGAAGGTTTAATGGAAATTTGATCAGCTGTTTGGCAATGGATGTTGGAAATTCATTATATTCACACAAAGGAGTGTTCTTTTTATAATTAAAAAGTTAGACGCTTCTGATTTCAAACATTTTTAAGGCTTCATTAAAAATGAGATTTGTGAAAAATTTTGGGATGAAAGGAAATACAGTATTTTAAAAAATACTGTATTTAAAACATTACAGTGTTGTAAGCACCTTTTCATGTCCTTATTTTATCATCACACTGAGCTTTGCTTTACCCACCTGCTTTAGGAACAGAACATTTTTTATTTTCATTTTCTATAAGCACAGCAATTGCAGTGGGTTCATGTCACTGGTTTTGCCATAGTGAAGGGCAGAAATTAAGGGCTTGGAAGGAATATTTAAATGGGAATCTTGGGGCTACGAAAAAGAGATTATTCTGTAACAGGAGTATACACTGTGTTAATATTACATCTACCTTCCTGTGGAACATCTGGCCTTAGCCACTGCCTGAAAAGGAGAACCAGGGTAAAGGGACCTTTTATTAACACCAGTGTGACTTCATCTGAAGTTGCATGTCTTATCTTTACCAGCCCTCCACTTTTATATAGAGTTAGGGAAATTCTTGCCTGTTGTAAATTGAGAATTAATCTGAGATCAATGGTGAGAACACAAAGATCCACTAAAGGCTAAAATGGCACAGTCTGAGGAAGTTTGTTTAGGCACTGGTAATAAACACTATTCCTGAAATGTTGACATTGACATTTAGTTTCAGTAGGATATTTTAGGAAGAAATTTACAGACTCAGGAGGTGCTTATTTTTAAATACATGTGTGAGAATGTATTTATTGAATTGACTTATTCCCTGAACTACAGTCTGGATGAATCAGTATGAGACAAGAGAACTGGTGAATATACCTAAAAAAAGGAAGAGAATCTGCCTACTAAACCAAATAACCTGAGATCTGACCGTGCAGCTGACCCTGTGCAGGCACATTTTGTGTCTGGTGAATCTTGCTGGATCAGGCCTCCAGTCACATTGATCCTTAGAACTCACTCAGGTTCCCCTACTCTTGACACACCTCTTTTACACTGTGTTACATTAAAACTTGCTGTTTTGCTTATCACGGTTGGGATATTGCACTGATATATAACAAACATTTAAAGAGTCAGATATGTTATTTTTTTTCTAAAATAGCTCTTTTCGAGTTGTCTTTTGTTTCTTCTGAAACTCTAGTTTCATTTAGAGACTGAATGAACATCATGTTAAAGAATGAGATTATAAATTAGTTAAGCAATTAATACCTCTTCAACTTCCCCTGCAACAAGCAGTGTCCATGACATTCAGTTCATAAATCACAGGCTAATTCAGTTTTGAGGTCCCTTTTGTAGTTTATTTTAATTAGCTTTAGGCCTACTACTAAATCAAGCAAAGGAGTCCTGACACATTTCTAGCATTTTGCTGCTTTGCAGACAGAATATATAATTTCTTATTTGAAAATTTGCACTTTTATATTAATCATGTATATATTCACCAAATCCTCCTGGTAATTTTATTTCAAAAAATTAGAAGTCCACATTACCTCTATAAAATCATGTGCAGGTGAATATTTAACATAGGAATATGACTTCTATGCTAGAACAAAGGCAGCTGTAATCTCACATAAGAATATAAGAACAAAGACTAATGGACTCCAAACAGAGTTTAAAATCTTTTTTTTTTGGCTGTAATTTCTTTTCTTGCAGAAAGCAGGAAACAACAATTTCCCATTCTCTTCTCATGACAACAGACATGAAATATGCAATGCAATCGAATATTTTGACCTGGTAAGTACCCAGCACTGAGACAAATCAAGCAGCTTCAGATGTATTGCTCTGCCAGAGATTAAACACAGCAACTTTTCTGTCCCCTGCAGAAAAAGAAAAAATGGGTGCTAAAACTGTGAGAAGAGAAAAATGTAAATACCAAAGAAAAATACACTTTTTTATTAGTAGAGGGCTGGGACATCTCTGGGACTGTCACATACAGCAGCACATACAGTCATTGAGAATGGTATATGATTCAAAGGGAAGCAAAAATCCATTGTTTGGGTCTCTGACAGGCATTTTCTAATATCCCTGTTTTGGTTATGTACCCAGTTAATTGTCCTATTAGTCTGCTCTAAGTGATTTGCCTTGCAATGAATGTTTATAGATATCTCAGCAACTTCTAATTTGCAGTCCCAAATATTTTGTTCAGACTCATCTTTATAATAAATTTAAACAAAATATATAGGATACCTACAATATATATCAAGAATGCATTCCGTTAATTCTTTACAGTGCACCTGTTTAAATGTATGCTGCAGAAGCCACAACTTTGACTAGAATTAAAATTTTTGGGCTTTTCTCTGTGGGCAACAGTTTCACGTCCTTCCATTCCCCTTAGATTGTTGGTATTATTCCAGGCAGCAAAAGAAATAGTGCAGTTCACAGGATAATGAGTAAAGGAGGAAGCAGTGAATTGTGATATAGGGAGTTTGTCTGATTTTGGGGTCTGTCAGGCCTAGACTTTTTGGAATTCATTATTCACTGGGTAACCTCAATTTCTGTGCACTTTGGGCAGTGTCTCATCGTTTTAGAGATACTGATCAACCATAATTCCAGCTAAATTTCCTGTGAGTGGAGTGTGAAAATCAGGCTCTGTCTCTCTGTGTTTGGACACACAAGGGATAGCACTGAAGATTCAGATTTCATGGTCTGTCTCAGTTTCTTTATTGCAGTCCAAACCTAGAATTATTAACCTATTTCTTTGGGTGCCTCTGAAGATTAATTTAGCCGAGTGTAGCTAAACAGCCTTGAGTAGCTGGTGTGCTATAGAAATGCAAAGTAAAAGTGGTTTATTAGCTCTGAGAGGTGGAAGGTCAGCAGATTTCCCATTATATATGCAACCAAAAATGTTCATACAGGCGAGTCTGACAATATTATTTTTAACTTGCTAAAGATCAACCGTGAGTTCTTGCAATCACTGTGGTAACAGCTTCGTTCACTTCCCAGGGGGGTAGTGACTGTTACAAGATTAATCTGTGAAGCTGTGACTGGAAGTCATATGGTTGCATGAATTTTTCTTTTCCTTTTTTTCCCCGTAGGGCATGGGCGTGAGGAAGATGGATCCAGAGAAGCAGAGACAGAACTCCCATAACTTCTTTGAGTGGTCTCGTGCCCCAGGCCGCAGCAGCAGCGAAGGCTTCGTCACCGTGTACCAGAGCTCGTTTGTGCCAGCTCAGAGCCCTGGGAACGAGGAGCAGAGTCACAGGCGCTACCCCAAACACCACACCCAAAACCAAAACCAGTGCAGCACCAAACCTGCCCCTGAGGATGACAAAGCCCTGCAGCCACACAAGACATCTTGATCAGAACACCTCAGGAACACCTACCAAGCAAAGCTGAGCTGTTCACTACTCAAAGCAGCTGTGAAGGAATAAACATTTGTGTAAAGTGCACGCAGCAGTATGTTTGAGAGTTCATTTCCCTACATCACTCTGAAAACATATATTACTATAAAACCTTTAAAGAAGAGGAACATTATAAGGAAAAACAAGATTGTGCAAATTTTTAGACATATGGCAACTAGGAGAACAGAGATAGGGATTGTGCGTGTGTTATCTGATACTGCTTGACCCTCATCTTGATACAAAAGCTCCTTCAGCTTCTGAATCAGTGGCAGGGCTGTACCTCAGGCAGCTGACAGCACCTTTATTGACACAGGAGCATAATGGACCTGGATCCTTGAGGGATTACTGCAGCAGGGAGCCAACCCTCTGTGTGCTCAGGTAAGAGAGAAACATTTCTGAAAGGTTTCATGGCTGAGAAGGCAGGTGACCAGCCATTAAAGATAAAAAAGAAGCTGTGCATTAGATTGCTGTGCAAAATAAGTGTGCTGTTTGGTTATAGCCCAGCAGTTGTAGAAGTGAAAAAAGAAGGAGTGTTGTGAACAACATTTGCTCAGTCAAAAATTACATTCATGGCTGTAAGGGGGAAAAAAACTCAAGCTGAAGTGAAAGGCTGCATGAAGGTTTTGAGTTTGGGGTGGATTGGATCTTAAAAGAACTTATGATTTTATAGTTACATGTCCTCAAGGAAGATAATTCAAACCCAGTCCTCCAAGCCCTCTGCTCCCAGAATATTCACTGATGTTAGGATGTAGCAGGCAGTTGAGTCACACCTAGAGTCAGACCTCCAGATGATGTGTTTTCCTCTTCTGGATCATTTCCATTAATATAAATAAAATAATAAGCTAAGCTATGTGTCTTAAAATATCCTACAAATAAGCTTGTTGCTATGCAAAATAATGTTGACTAAAAAAAAATCAATCATAAGTTTATGAGATAATTTACTTTATTTACAAGATAAATGGAAAAATAAGCCCTTGACCCTTAGAATTCCCTGCATTGTAAGAGCTGCCTTGAACATGAGCTCAGTTAAGAAATTACATTTCTGCTTTCAGTGAAGAGATGCATTTTTTGGTATCAGCATACAGTGGCTGAAGGCCTTTTTGTGTGCCATCAAAATAGATGGGATTAGATTCCCCAAACATGTAGCATGTTTATTAGGACATGTTGAAATAATAAACTCATTTTTTTTAATGGAGTTTCCCCTGTTAGAGTTCTTGGGGTGCTACACAATACATCAAAATCCAAAACATCAATGAACAATGTAAAACCAAATAAAAAGCCAAGTAACATAGTGCTATTAAAAAGAATTGCATTTTCTCAAAGTAAAGACAGCCTGCCTGACAGCTCCAGAGTCAGAATTTCCAGAGCTTTAGCCAACAGTTGCATCCCCAGACTGATTCAGAACTGAAGTGTGTGCCAATCACATGGTGAATGAAGTGCCCCATGCTGCTTGGCAAACTCCAAAGGGCAATCTTGGACCTCCATCAGAAGGAAGGAACACATTCTTATTCCATTAGTAATGTTTATCTGTGGTTTAGCATTACAACTGGATGTGGTGAAATAAATTGCTAGTTTGTTATGCCTTAAGACACCAATAGAAGCACTCCAGATTTCTTTTTCCCCCCTCTTTTTCTTTTTTTTTTCCTTCCTATTTTTGGTTAAAATGTGGCTTAAAGATTACCTGTGGATTAATACGTATTTTCAACTATATTGTAATAAAGATTTCAGAGGAGAAATTGAAGAGATCATGAAACCCTTATAAACTGAAATACACTGTGCTGGGTTGAATAAAACAGGTGATTCCCACATATCTCATGCTCTGCCAGTGTTCCTTGGGTAAATAACAGGAGACACAATACACTGAATTTGGAAATAAATAATGAATTCCTCACATAAATTTGTGTACTTTGGATAGAAACCATCAATTTGTTTACTCTTGTGTTGATAATGTCTCTGTGAGGAAGGTCCTATTGAGTTAAAACATTTTTGAACATGCATTTTCTTTTGTTTGTTTCTTTGGGAATGGAAGAAATTGAAATAAGGCTGATATAACCCCTAAAATTTTCTGGTCAGTGCAGGAAAGTGCTTTTGGCTGGGAGTTCTTTGGGATCAGATGGGTGTAAGTAGGTTTAGTAGAATGATCATACTTTGGGTTAAATCAGCCAAATACTGTTCTAGGTGCTGCTGATAAGGATGAACTTATTTTTTGCATTATTTTAGTTTTTAAAAATCAAACCCAAGCAGCCTCTTTACAGAAACAAAAGCCTTTATCCTCTGATTCTTTCCAAGGAGTATTGATGCCTTCTGTTTTTTTCTCATGAGTCTGCATCAATGAAGGGACAGCCTATGCAGCATTTTTAGGAGATATTTTTTTGTGTTAATTTAAAAGTGTTTTCAGTGTGTTACTTAAATTCAGAGAACTCAAAATAAATTTTAAAAAGTTAAACCAGAAGGCTGAACAGGCTCCCCAGGGCATGGGCAGAGCCCCAGGACTGCCAGAGCTCCAGGAGGGTTTGAACAATGCTCTCAGGGACAAGGTGGGATTGTTGGGGTGTCTGTGCAGGGTCAGGAGCTGGACTGTGGGACCTTCCAGCTCAGGATCCTCTGTGATTCTGTGATAATAGAGCTGAGCTGAAGAGTAGCAACTTTGCCACTGAAGTTTCCACACCCAGCTGAATCCCCTTGGTTCTCAGGTGGCTGCTGGAGCTGTGCTGGGTGACGGTCTTGTGCCTGTGTCTGCAGTGTTATGTTCACTTCTTTAAACTTTGATTCTTTTCCTTCTTTCTCTCCTGCTTGCTGATAACAAGATGTGAGGACATCGAGTCCCTCAAAGCTGCTGTTGCTCAGCCTGTGATGCCCCTGGTAAGCTGCATGTCACCTTTCATATCTGTGTCATTTGTGAGTTGTTGTGACCAGTGAAATGCTCTTTACAGTCATTAGAGACCCTGGTCTCTATGAGAGTCCATTGGGTTTAGTACAATAGGAGGCAAAACAGAAATTTTGTCTTTTGTTTACTTGGTGTCTAAAGACTTAAAAGTCCTTAAAGCTGGAACTGTGGGGAGCACTGGAAGGGGGAATTCTGCTGTAGTTGGAGCTGGTAATTCAGTGGGGATGCAGCAGTTTGACTTCCAGATCATCTGCTGTTAATCTAATCACTGTGTTCATAATCTAATCACTCCCTGTAGCTGAAATGTTGTTCCTTAGTTGTACTCCCAAAGTTAGAGTGAAGTTACTTGATGGGGATGTGGCACTGGAGATGAGTCCATTTCCTTCCCTGTGCTGCACAGTTACACAGTGACAATTCTGTCCCAGCTCTGTCTAAACCCAAAGCTGATGCTCATTTATTTACAGTGATATAGTTCACGTGTGGATGAAATTAAGCTTCTTTAAATACTCTTTTACTGGTGTAACAGTTCCCTAACTGGGGAAAATATTGGTATTACTGTGGTGGTGCTGACATGGAACCAAGAGTGCAGGCCTGTTGAAATGGAAGTGTTTATGTTGATACACTGGCCACGCTGGTTGGCAAGAAATGAAATCTCTGAAATTAAGTGTAAACTTTTTAGGCATCTCTATTTTCAAGCCACAGTACACAAACTTTATTATTATTATTATTATTATTATTATTATTATTATTATTATTATTATTATTATTTCCTTAAGACTCTCCTACTGCTGATACCTTATCTAAAGAGCAGTAGATGGCAAGGACAGAGACCCATTCCACTCTGGAATGGGAAAGAACTATACAAAGCTACCTCATCCCAAATGTCTTGGTTTATTCCTGCTTCCCCAACAAAGTAATAAAATTACAAGCTGTTAAAACATTTTTGAATATCTAATTAAAGGAAAGTCCATTCAACAGGGAAGCAATCTTAACTGACCTTAAATTGGATGTTTAGCCATAGTGGGCACAAGTGAACCAGTAAAACAACCAATTTATGATTTGGTCAGCTGCTTTTATGAAAATAATGTTACCTCTTGTCTGGTCAAGCTTGTTATTCTTCAGTATGTTTACCTGAAAGTGAAGTATTTCAAATTGTCATTTTTGAAATGTGATGTACAGTAAAAAATGTAGTTTGAAACAGGTAAGTTTAATTCAAATGTAAGGAAAGAAGTGGTCAGAGGAGACCTCTGGGACTGCAAGGAGTGGAACTCAGGAATTCAGGAATGCCTGCTCACAGGTGAGTGCCTAGCCCCTGAACCAGGGAAAACCCTGTTCTTTCTCACAAGGCCAGTGTTTAACTGTTGCAAACAGATTAGGTAGAGGGTGGTGGTTTTCCAAGTTGCCTGAACCAGTTCAGAAAATCAGGAGAATTTTAGGAATACCTTTTCTTTTAATTCCTTGCTGTGGGATATGTAGAAGTAGTGCTCACAGAGTACTACTCCAATAGCAATGAGTATGTATGTGATCCTTTTCAATATTCTATGGAATGAAAGACAGATTTTTGTCCCTCTCTCACCCCACAGCCCCCAAAAAGGAAGGTTGTGTTTAGACTGCCCAGTACATTCCAACACCTACAAATGGCAATGTTCATATGGAAACAGAGCAGCACAAATGTCAGGTCCTGTGCCCAGATGTAAACTGTTGTGGGCTCAGGCCCTGTGGTATTAACCAGACACTCAAATGGCATTGTAGGCATGCATTAATGACCCTAAGTGACCCTCCTCATCTTATTGCTTAATTAATCAATGGCCCAGTGGCACATTAGCAGGGCTCTTTTTCAAGCTGTGTCTCCCCTCACAGGGAAATCAGATGCTATATAGTTCTGTCTACTTATGGGAAAGGCAAACCCAATAAATAAAGTGTAATTTCCTGATTCCCCTGGGCTGTAGTGATGCTTTTTGACAATGCTTCTTCAGCTGAGTTGAAATCAAAACCCAGTCTGACCAACATACGGCAGAATATTTCATGGGCTGAGTTAAGCACCAGGTTTAAAAACTTAAAAAGACTGGAG